TTCCCAACTGGTGGGCGCCGGGGTGGTTCAGTCGGTTAAGTGTCTGCCTTCAGCTCAGCTCATGATCCCGGGGTGCTGGGATCGAGGCCCACATTGGACCCCTGCTCAGCGGGGGACTCTGCTTCTCCCTCTGCCCCTCCCCCCTGCTCGTGCTCTCTCTCCACTCTCTCTCTCTCTCTCAAAAAAATAAGTAAATAAATAAAATCTTTAAAAAAAAATTCCCAATTGGTAAAGGACTAGATTTTTTTGAAAGTCCTGACTGTGAGAGCTTTTTTTTTTTTTTTAAAGATTTTATTTATTTATTGGGGGGTGAGGGGAGGGGGAGAAGAAGAGGGAGAGGGACAAGCAGACTCTGCATTGAGCATGGAGCCTGACACGGGGCTCAATCTCACCACCCTGAGATCATGACCTGAGCTGAAATCAAGAGTCAGACGCTCAACCGACTAAGTCACCCAGGCGCCCCCTGACTGTGAGGATCAAAACGGGACAACAGACAACTGTGCATACCGGTCAGAGTGCGGACACAGGCCACCCCAGAGCTGCCGCTCCCCACAGTTCTAGGCCATGGCCACAACACACACTCTCAGTCTCAGAGTTCAATAAACCTCATTACATGGATACCCCACCGAGTCAGAAGAGGAAAATGCCCACTATGACTTCACCATTTCCTAACAGAGAAGGAAGAGCACCATTTGTCCTCTGTAACTTGAGATTTAGAAAACACAAACCTAACATCATGCATTGCTTTCACGTGTAATTTTTTTTTTTAAGTGGGGCTTGGAGTTGATGACCCACAAATCTCCATCACGCCCACGTCCTGATGCACGTATGAGCTTCCTACTCACCCTCAGCAGGATAGGACTGGACCACACGCCGGGGTCAGCTGAGTCGATGGCATTAGGAAAAGCTGCACCATCGTGGGGGCAGCATGGCCTTCAGGCCTCCTCTGCTTCATCCCTAGACACCCTCGTGGAGCCAGGGGCCAGACAAAGGTGGCACAATGGAGACCAGGCCACCCAGACAGCTGCTGCTGCGGCTACCTATCCCCCCATGGCTCTGTGATCCCCTCCCCCCAGAGAAGGGCCAAGAAGGGGAGAGAAAGGGCGGGGAGTGAGGAGCAGCGTTAGCATTTCTGCAGGACCTACTATGTGCCAGCCACTGCCTTAGTGGCTTACCTATGTGGTCTTTCAACGTGGACAGTAACCCAACGATGCCGGCATTATGACTCCCATCACATGAACAAGGAAAACGCTGGCGATACCTGAGCAGTGCACCAAAGATTTGGGACCATCACTGACCTTTCCAAACCCAGAGAAAGGGCCAGCCCGGCACACAAATCCTTTCCCAACTGTATCCTCTGACACCCCCACCCCCGTTGCTGAAATCACCTTCGTCTGTCCCATGGACCTTGTCAAGGTCAGAAATGCCGTAACACACTCAGCCCTCCTGTGCTCTCTCTCCTTCTTTGGCTGAAGTCAAAGGAAAGCTCAGACAGAAGGGCTATGAGAGAGGAGGGGCTGTGCTACTACTTAGCAAAAAAATGATTTCTGAACCTACAACAGTCAATCTCTGACATTCTTATTTTTAGGAGACACGACCTGCAAGCTTCAGACTGTAAGCACTGAAATGATTCAGCAAAAACAAAAACAAACACAGAAAACTCACACACAAGTAAATTTGGCAAAACATTCACTGTTAACTACAAGTAGTAGGAACACACAGGTGTTCACTGTGCTAGCCTTTCAACTTTTCTGTATATTTAACATTTTCATAATAAAAAAATTAGTTTTTAATTGCTTCCCTAACTTACTGGTTGCTAAATATACAAGCAAAGCCTAAAACAAGTATTTTCATTACACAGATCATCATTAACTTTTTATTTTCTAAAGTGAGGTTTTCCACAAAGGCTTTCCCTAAACCCAAGTCAAATCTGCAGTAACAACTTCCTTTGGCTCTAGGGGTGCTGTTCCCCCTGATGGAGGGAGAAACCAACTGGCACAGACCAACAAAGGGTATTTTCCCCTAAACTGTTATTTACTCAGGGTGGAAGAACTTGTTTGCTGTAATTTTTTGTGGGAACAAATGGGATTTAAAGCTGGAAGCACCGTTTATTTTTTTTTTTTTAATTTTTTTATTCTTATGTTAATCCCCTTACATTACAACATTAGTTTTAGATGAAGTGTTCCATGATTCATTGTTTGTGCACAACACCCAGTGCTCCATGCAGAATGTGCCCTCCTAAATACCCACCACCAGGCTAACCCATCCTCCCACCCCCCTCCCCTCTAGAACCCTGTTTGTTTTTCAGAGTCCATCGTCTCTCATGGTTCGTCTACCCCTCCGATTTCCCCCGCTTCATTCTTCCCCTCCTGTGGAAGCACCGTTTATTAATAGCTGGGTTTTAACTCCCCCAGGCCAGGGTCTGGACCCCTCATCCCCAGCTCCGGCCACTATGATGCTTCCCACGTGATAGGTGCTCAGAAGATGCCCGCTGGTGACAACAGCAGTAAGTCGGGAGGAAATTAATTCTGAAATCACTCTTCCTCTGGCTGCCGACACAGAGCTGGCAGCTTCCACTGTAATCGGGACAGGAGTGCGAAAAGGCTGGGTTAGCTGCAGAAATAAGCTTTAAAAATGCACAGACACTTACTTCCCAGAGCTGACTCCTTTCATGTGGTCTGTGTAAATATAGATATCGGGTATAAACTTGTTGAGGATGCTCCTTGCAGAATCCACGATCCGGTTGGCCATCTGCGGTGATACGCGCACGGAGTACCTGCAATCCACGGTTAAGGGTGCCATTCTGCTTGGACTCCACACAGAGAAAGGTCTGTTATAAAGCTAGCGGCTATTTGTGGAACTGTAATAAAATGCCATTCTAATGCCATTCTATTTTCCAACTGTATTTAATTGCTTAACTTTGTCGTAATACCTTAAGTCGATTTTTAGATCATTATTTTTATTTATTACTGTATTACTATATAGTTTTTATATTATTGTTATAAAACAATCACAATGAAAAACACACAGATGTAGAGAGTTGGAAAGTATAAAATAAGAGTTCCCAACCCTGCTCTAGAGTTCCTACCCAATGCCCCTCCCCTCTCCGAGATATGGTTCAACTCAATTTCGGAACAAAAGGAGACAACGGCCTGCCTGTCTGGCATGAGCCAGGCTCCCTTTGAAGTGTTCTCCGACCCTCCCCACTGCTGGAACCAATGAGTCTTTCCCTTGCAAACCTAAGGCCAGAACAGACACACCACACTGGGGCTCACCTGGGCCAGTCCCAATCCACCCCTGGTCTGTTCACAGGAAAAGCAGAAAAAGATTAGTGAAAGAGAGTACAGTAGCTGTTCATAAAGATCTTAATAGGTTTGTTGCAACTCACAGAGCTTATTTTCAATTATTTGTCATTTACTCCATTTGTGGATAATACAGGCTCCTCACAACTGCTACCTTAAATAAAAGTATTGATAATTAGCATGTTTACACCACAGCACCCCCAGAAAGAAAAGGAGGAAGATAAAAGCAACTCAAATGAAAAGACTGGTGTTTTGTTTTGTTTTAATTTTTTGAGAGAGAGAGAGCGCACATGGCAGGGGTTGGGGGGGCAGAGGGAGAGGCAGAGAGAGAATCTTAAGCAGGTTCCATGCCTAGTATGGAGCCCAATGTAGGGCTCAATCGCACAATGCTGAGATCATGACCTGAGCTGAAATCAAGAGTTGGATGCTGAACTGACTGAGCCACCCAGGGGCCCTGAAAAGGCTGATATTTAAGGAAACAGAAACAATTACCTAAAATTAGACTTTATTATAGAGACTGGCTCTCCCCAATGCCACGAATCCAAAAATAAGTAAGTATGGAGCACTTTCGATGTGCAACGTTCAGTCAAGAGGTGGCTACATACGTGGGACAAGGGGTTAAAGAAAGAGAGAAGTAACAACATGTGATCTTCCCATTACCCTGACACAAACCCCACATGGCAAGTCCAACAGGGAAAACAAGGTGTGTGGTCTGCCTATTCCAACCCAACTGTGCAAAAATTACCATCAATGACAAATTCAATTTTCATTTGAGCTGCAGAAATGAAATGCTCAGAGACTGCAAAGACCTTGGCTGGCATTTAGCTCCCCTCTCTGATCCATCCTGCACCCTCCACTGAAAGATCAATCTTCCTCATGCTAGTGAGAATCCGCAGTTCCCTTAGTCTGGACCCTCCCAGACCTCACGGTCAGTCTGTCTGCTCAGTGTCCGTCCCCCCACCCCGACACCATTACCCCCACCACTCACCCAACTGTTCAAATTCTCCAACCTGAACCGCCTTCCTTCATTTTTCCTTCCTTCTCCCCCACACCCTCCAGCCAGAACCAGACCGTGATCTTCACTTGACCTTACCGTACATCTCCCTTCATCTACACATGTCCTTGCCCATCAACCAAGACCATGCCTTCCATAAGAAGAGGGGCTCTGCTTCCGTATGGAGCAGAGCTCTCTGATGACTCTCATACCCTACTTTTGTACTCAGCAATACTCAATAAATATTTGACTTGACTCAAAGAACAAACCTGAAGTGAGGAAAGAGCAAAGAGGGATTTTTCAATACACACACAAGGCCCCGTTACATCACCACCTCTCTGTCCAGAGTGTACTTTTGGCCACAGGCAGCTTAGACAAACAATCCTGGGTCTCACACCCTTTGGACTGGGTGGGTGCTGTCCTTCTGAGCCTGATGCTGCCCACTCTCCTAAGGAGAGCACAGATGTCACCATCCTGACATATAATCCCACAGCATCCATGGCTCCCAAAATTCTTTCAGGTACATTAGCAATTGATCTTATGCTCACAGTGACCCCATGAGCCACAGCCATGGATTCCTACTTCCAGGGCTTAAACTGAGGACAACCAGGTCACAGAAGTGAGATACAAAATTGAACAGATCTGACTTCATAAAGACAACCTCCTCCCTCCAACCCCCACAGACATGTGGAAACCGGGTGAGGAACTGTACCAACTCAGGGCCAGTGGAGTCCTATACCAGAATCCTGGCAGTGGAGATGGACAAGGTGGCTATATGCCAGAGTCACCATGGAACCATCCGGCTTGGTGTGAAGGACCTACCAAGGAATGGCTAAGAGTTCTAGAATCAGACCATCTGTACTCAAGTGCCAGCTCCAGCAAACTGCATCATTCTGGGTCTGGTGTGTGTCCACCTCCTCATCAGTAAGAGAAGAATAATCACAACATTCTCCTCCCAAGGTTTGGAAGCTCAAATGAAATAATGCATGTAAAGTGCTTAGTGGTGCCTGGTGTGAGGTAAGAGCCCAATGAACGCCGGCTATTGCTTTTCTTGCAGTTAGTCCAAGATTCAAACCCCAAAGCAGAGGTTCCTATCCTTTCAGAAATCAGAGACCCCTCTGGGAATCTGATGAAAGCTATGCACATGTCATTTTGCAGACAATTTCAGGGGACTGTGAATCTCCTGAAGCCCTTATATGAATACCATATTAGGAACTCATATCCAAGAGAGACAATTTCACAGCTACAGGCCATATGGAACTCCTACCCTTATCCCTCCCTGGTGTCCCAGGTCAGAGAAAGTACACACAAGTGAGCAAAAGTGTGTGTGTGTGTGTGTGTGTGTGTGTAGAGACAAAGAGGCTGATTCTCTAAGTACCTGCCCTACAATCAGAGAAAGGAAACCAGTTTGTCCTACAAATTCCAGCTCACTCCCATCTTCTGTCTCTACCCCAGCTTCTTCATTTGACTCTTATGTACCAGATCATGAGCTTCTGGGATAGTGCCACAAACTGAAAAGAGAGTGCTCCCTTCTCCCCACCCCCCTCCTCAGGCAGGGGGAGAATGAGAGTGGGTGGCATTAAATAAAAGGTAACCACACTGTCCAGTCACTGCTGCTGGCAGGAACCAACACCGGCTCCCTCCCACGCCCTGGACAGCCGGTCCAAGAGGGAAAAGATGCGCTCTGGGGGGTAACTCAGTTAAAGCCACAACCACCCACAAGAGCAGGGCCAGTTCTCCTGACCCAAGCCCTCCTATGGGGAACGCAACCTCCAAGCTCAGACCAACAGTTAACCAGACTTGCAAGTAAAAAAAACCTATAAAACCAGCTAAAGCTTTTTTCCAAAGCAGCTCTTTTTTCCCAGGCCCCAAAACTGGCCAAGAAGGTGATCTCAGTTCAAACCCACATTCCACTGAGGTGTTTGTGAAAGGGGCAGCTCTGGAGACCAGCAGCTGGAATGTCTGGTTTGCAGACAAGAATCTGAGCAAGGCCACTTGTATCTACTTTCCTGGGGAATTGGGAGGAAGACTCTGCAGGTCTGATGTGTCAGGAAGATTCAGGTGTCCGAGCCCCAGCCCCAAGCAAGGGGCTCTCCAGTGTCTTCCTGGCACTGGTTCTATACCGGGAAGGCTTAAAGAACACCAGAGGGAGAAGCCACGGAGGAACAAAGTTACACCCCAGTGCGTGGGGCTCTTTTGTGTCCTCCTCTGTGCGACCCCCAAGGCTTCTCCATTTCTCAGCGTCCTCATCGAAGGCTAATTCATGAGGCTTTTGCACACCCAGTACTCCTAGTACCGTGGGACCCCAGGAGGCAGTCTCTGTGAAACCTACATAGTTACCACAAGACTGTGTCAAAACAAACAGCACACTCTGGAAATCACATTTCCAGACTACAGGGAATGGATTCCAAGCAGAGTTCACCACCACGCTAGAGCTATTAAAGGGAACAAATCTCAAATGAGTAAAAACAAACTCAGTCCAGAGCGTGCATAGGATTTTGCGTGCAAGGCCGTCAACTGCATGTTCAGCAACAGAGGAAAATGGAAAGCAAGTCAATGACCACCAGCAGGGTTTCATCCTGGCTTCTTTATATGGTAAAATACAGTGCGCCTGTTAGCGAGAATGAGATTGAGTAAGTGCCAAGGGTCAAGTAGAAAAGGCATATTTGGTTAAAAAGAAAAAAAGAAAAAAAAAACCCTACCTACTTGCATTTCCATTTCTCTATGGAGAACATCACCTTAGAAAGTCAGTTTAACCACATGCGTCAATCTGGGGTCTCCCAGGACAGGAACTGTATCTCCCCCCGCTGCCCACTCTCTCATTTTTACCGGGGAATGGCCCTGAGACACACCCCAGGAGAGCCGAGCAGAGAGAACAGGCCGCCGTCCAGGGAAGCTCTGTTTTACATTCCTCTTATCTTGAGGATTTCTACAAACTTCAGGCAGCACCCTTTTATCTCAACAACGGCTTTCTGTGCCTGTGGCTGTGCCGACCACCCTATTCCCCTCACCACTCACTGTTCAAGCTCATCAAGGCCCCTCCATACTTCTCCTCCAAGTAGGACCACCCCAAAACCTCCTGAGAAACACAAAACTTGACTTTTTAGCACCTAACCCACCCCTGAGAAGCACACACCCTGATCTACCCCCTTTGTCAAAGTCCCACCAGGAAAGCCATCACCCAACCCCAACCAGCCCCCTGGCCTCCAACGCCTGCCCTCCCCCAGATCGGCACCCAGAATTTTACTACTTTTAATATCTGAAACCCCAAAATACAATTCCCCCAACACAAGTTCTTGTTCGTCTGCCCAGCACACATACCTACTGCCACTCCATCTTTAGAGCTATTTACATTCAATCTTTGAATCTGGTAAGCGTTCCAATCCCTTGACCAGATGTCCCTCTACCCATCCTACTGCACCAGTCACTCTCTGCCACCGTACCCAGCCCCGGATGAAACTGACCCTCTGGCCTTCCCGTCCCCTCCCTCTGGGCTGCCAACTGCTGCCGGACGTGGCCACATGGCCACCCAGCCGACACAATGATAAAATCTCATCTTCAGCTGAGCCCTTTACTGCTGTCCCCCAGCCTTGGTCTTCCCTTCAGCTGCTATGCCCCACTGTGACAGCACACTTTTACACCTGTCACACGGTCTTATCATCCTTCCGCTAATGCCCTTATCCATGATCCCCTCCTAACTCTTGAAAAATGAGAACTGCTCCCAACCCCCTTCCGATCACCTCCAGGTGGCTCAATCTAGAGCCATCTCCGACCCACACCCTCCCAAATAATAATAAAAACAATACTAGCTGCGACGCACCAAACGCTTCCTCACACAACAGCCAGGTGCCTCGCCCTCTACATCTACTACCTTGTCCAACCTTCGCTGCAGCCCCACACCGCGGTTTTAATGCGCCCGGTTAGAAGGGAGTCAACCAAGGCGTGGGGCCGAAATCCTGCCATCCATGGGCAGCAAGGCCAGAGTCGGAACCCACACCTGAACCCAGCACCTTGTTAGTGTTACCCCGCTTCCTCAGCGTCCCCCCCTCCTAGAGGTCTACTCTACTCAGACAACGGAAGTACTCCCATCACCACCATCACCATCAACCTTCTCTTTAAGAAGGGAGGGGATCTTCTCAACTCTCTCCCTGTGGCAAGTTCCCACCTTTCCTTCCTCCTGCTTCTCTTTCCTGTCAAGATTCTCTTTTTTTTTTTTTAAAGATTTTATTTATTTATTTATTTGAGAGAGAGAATGACAGAGAGAGAGAGAGAGCACATGAGAGGGAGGAGGGTCAGAGGGAAAAGCAGACCCCCTGCCAAGCAGGGAGCCCAATGCGGGACTCGATCCCGGGACTCCAGGATCATGACCTGAGCCGAAGGCAGTCGCTCAACCAACTGAGCCACGCAGGCGCCCCATCCTGTCAAGATTCTTCAGAGCAGCCCCCACATTGCACCATTTCCCCAGAACTGGTCGTCAGGGCTGGCTCCTCCTCTTTGGAAGGAGCTCCTCCCCAGCCGTGTGCTGCCCAGAATGTCCTCCATCCTAACGCTGACTCCTCTGGGCTCCTCAGGGCTTCTAAGAAGCTACGTTTTCTTAGGTGCCTGGGTGGCTCAGATGGTTAAGAAGCTACGTTTTCTTTATTCTCCTCTCAACTGCCTGACTCTCCCTAGTCCCCCTTCCTGGGAGCATTTTGCTTTTGCTTTCAAGTCTTCGTGATGTCTCAGGGATCCACCTGCCTCTCTCCGCATTCTACATGATAGCTGACTCCAAGTCACCCACTTCTGGCTCTCACCTCACCCCCAAGTTACAGATGTACATTTCTAATTTCCTTTCTAGACCTATCTCCCTGTAACCATTGTGAAGGGCTCTCAAACCCAAGAGGAAGAAAACTGAAGTATCACCAATGCCCCCACCCCACCTTACACTGCCCCAAACATGTAGCTACTATCAGAATGTACATCTCTCTCCAGGTGCCAGGGCACACAGCAGAATCATCCTCAAGGACTCCTTATCCCTCTATCACAGAGCCAGGTGGGGACGGCTTCCCACGCATGCTGCCCCCAAGCTCTCTGTAAACTTGCAGCCCTCACCTGTGCTCCAGCCACTACCCTCACCATCCTCTTCGGGCAAAATGACTCCCTAGTATCTTTGCCTCTAAGTGGTCACCATTAGGTACAAGGTACACTTGTACCTTCCAAAGTTTCTACAATGAGCCAAGCGCAGCCGGAAGTTCTTTCAGCACCACCGACGTTATCCTCTTACTATGGAAATTCTCTCTCTAGAAAATTACAGACTTCGGAATGAAAGCCAACTGGTCAGCATGGCCTTCAATCTTCACTGGCTCCGGCCCTATCTTTCACATCCCATCTTCTACTACCGAACACCGGTGACAGACCTGCCCTCAGGCCACACCGCACGGCCTGCCACTCCCAGAACCAGGGTGCACCACTGCGTGCGCAGAAGCCCACACGCCTGCCTGAAGCACCCCTTCCTTGCTCCACTTCACAGGCCTCTGTTCCTCAAGGCTCAATCCAAATGCCCTCCCTTCTGCTAAGAAAAAGCAGAGGTTCAAAGACTGGGCTGCAATAAGACAGGGCTCAAATCCCAGCCCTGCCATTATGAACAGTGTGATGTGGATGCAAATTCCTTCAGCCTGTGAAGCCTCGGTTTTTCCATCTGCAAAACAGAATGCAAGTAAACTCAGAGTCACTTGGGCTTAAAAATAAAGAATATAAAATGTAGATGGATTAAACTCCACAATCAAAAGAAACAAAAGTGGCTGAATGGGTAAAATAAAATTCAACTATATGCTGTCTATAAAAGACTCACTTTAGATATAAGGACATATATAAGCTGAAAGTGAACATATTCCATGCAAATGGGAACCAAAAGAGAGTAGGACTGCCTAAACTTCCATCACACAAAACAGACTAAGTCCAAAAAGACTTTAAAGTCACAGGAGACAAAGACGTTAATTATACAATGATAAAAGGGTCAATTCAACAGAAAGATATAACAACTATAAACATATAAGCACTCAACATCAGATCACCTAAATATATAAAGCAAACATCAGCAAATTTGAATAGAGAAACAGCAATACAACAGTAATAGGAGATGTCTTACCCCACTTTCAATAACGGATAGAACACCCAGGAAGAAAATCAGTAAGGCAACAGGTGACTTGAACAATGTTATAAACCAAGAGGAACTAACAGACATCCACAAGACATTTCACTCAACAATACCGGGATACACACTCTTCTTATGTGCACATGGAACATTCTCCGGGATCACACGGCAGATCACAAAACACGATGTAACAAGTTTAAGAAGGCTGAAATCTTATGCTAAGCGAAATAAGTCAATCAGAGAAAGACATGTATCATATAGTCTCACTGATATGAGGAATTCTTAATCTCAGGAAACAAACAGGGTTGCTGGAGTGAGGGGGTGGGAGGGATGGGGTGGCTGGGTGATAGACATTGGGGAGGGTATGTGCTATGGTGAGCATTGTGAATTGTGTAAGACTGATGAATCACAAACCTGTACCTCTGAAACAAATAATACATTATATGTTAAAAAAAAAAAAAAAAAAGATAATAGGAAGGGGAAAATGAAGGGGGGGCATCGGAGGGGGAGAGGAACCACAGACTATGGACTCTGAGAAACAAACTGAGGGTTTTAGAGAGGAGGGGGGTGGAGGGATGGGTTAGCCTGGTGATGGATATTAAGGAGGGTACGTTCTGCATGGGGCACTGGGTGTTATACGCAAACAATTAATCATGGAACACTACACCAAAAACTAATGATGTAATGCATGCTGACTAACATAACATAATAAAATAAAATTAAAAAAAAAAAAAAAAAAAAGAAGGCTAGGGGCGCCTGGTGGCTCAGTCGTTAAGCGTCTGCCTTCCGCTCAGGTCAGGATCCCCGGGTCCTGGGATCAAGCCCCACACTGGGCTCCCTGCTCGGCAGGGAAGCCTGCTTCTCCCTCTCGCACTCCCCCTGCTTGTGTTCCCTCTCTCACTGTGACTCTCTCTGTCAAATAAATAAATAGAATCTTTAAAAAAAAAAAAAAAAAAAGGCTAAAATCACCTCAGGCACCTTTTCTAACCACAATGGAATGAAACTAGGTATCAGTAACAGCAAGAAAATGGGAAAATTCACAAACAGATGAAAATGAACGGATTCTTGAACATGTGGTCAAAGAAGAAATCAAAAGGGAAATTGGAAAATATCTAGAGATGGGCACCTGGGTGGCTCAGTCGGTTAAGCGTCTGCCTTTGGCTCGGGTTGTGATCCCAGGGTCCTGGGATCAAGCCCTGCATTGGGCTCCTTGCTCAGCAGGGAGCCTTCTCCCTCTCCCTCTCCCTCTCCCTGCCACTCCCCCTGCTTGTGCTCTCTCTTCCAAATGAATAAATAAAATCTTAAAAAAAAAAAAATCTAGAGACAACAAAAATGAAAACACAACATACCAAAATTTATGGGACGAAGCAAAAGGAGTACTAAGAAGGAATTTTATAGTGATAAGCACCTACGTTCTTTCTACAAAAAAAGAAAAGATCTCAAATAAACAGCCTAACTTCACACCTCAAGGAACCAGAAAAAGAACAAACTAAAATCCAAAGTTAGCAGAAGGAAAAAAATAATAGAGTAGATATAAATGAAACAGCAAAGTGAAAATCACTAGGAAAAAATAATCAACAAAAGTAAGAGTCAGTTTTTTGAAAAGATAAACAAATTAACAAACCCTTAACTAGCCTAAGAAAAGAGAGAAAGAAGATGCAAATAAAATCCAAAATGAAAGAGGAGACATTACACCTGATGCCACATTTTTTTAAAAATCATAAGCTACTATTATGAACAATTACAAGCCAACAAACTGGACAACCTAGAAGAAACGGATAAATTCCACCAAGTCTGCAACAAGATTAAAGCTTGTAAGTAAGGAGTCAGAATCAGTAACCAAAAACCTCACAAAAAAGAAAAGCCCAAGACCAGATGGCTTCACCAGATTAATCAATTCACTGATGAAGTCTACCACACATTTAAAGAATAATTAATACCAATCCTTAAATTTCCAAAAACAAAGAAGAGGGAACACTTCCAAATTCACTTTATGAAGCCAGCGTCACTGATACCAAAGCCAGACCTTAAAGACAATACAAGAAAAGAAAACTATAGGCCAATATCCCTGATGAACACGGATGCAAAAATTATCAACAAATTTTAGCAAACTAAATTCAATGATACATTAAAAGGATCACATGACATAACCAAGTGGGATTTATCCCTGGGATGCAAGAATGGTTCTACATATGCAAATCAATTAATGTGATACACCACATTAACACATTAATGAAGGACAAAAATCAGATGATTGTCTCAATAGATGCAGAAAGAGCATTTGACAAAATTCAACACTCTTCCATTATTAAAAATTCTCAACAAATTAAGTTGAGAAGAAAATTACATCAACACAATAAGGACCATACATGAAAAGCCCACAGCTAACATCTTCAATTGTGGAAAACCCAAAGCTTTTCTTCTGTAATTTGGAACAAAGCATGGATGACCACTCTTGCCACTGCTATTCAACATGGTACTGTAAATCCTAGCCAGAGCAATTAAGCAAGAAAAAGAAATGAAAGGAATCCAAATTGGAAAGGAAAAAGTAAAATCATCTATCTGCAGATGACATGATCTTATAGGTAGAAACCCCAAAGATGTCACCCACCCAAAAAAAGAACTATTGGAATAAATGAATTTTTAAAAGTTGCAGGATACAAAAATCAACTTACATTTCTGTACACTAACAATAAACTATCTGAATAAGAAATCAAGGAAATAATCCTATTTACAATAGCATCCTAAAAAACCTAAATACTTAGGAATAAACTTAACCAAGAAGGTAAAAGACTTGTATACTAAAAAGTATAAAGCACTTATGAAAGACATTTTAAAAAACACAAATAAATGGAAAGACAGCCCTCATTTATGGACTGAGAGAATTCATATTCTTGAAATGTCCATACTATCCAAAGTGATCTACAGATTCAATGCAATTCTTATCAAAATCCCAATGATTATTTTTTATAGAATAATAGATACAGAAAATAGACACATAAAAAACAATCCTAAAATTTGTATGGAACCAAAAAGGACTCTAGATAGCTAAAGCAATTCTGAGCAAGAAGAACAAAGCTGGAGGAATCAGAGTTCCTGATTTCAAAATCTATTACTAAGCTACAATAATCAAAACAGCATGGTACCAGCATAAAAACATGCAACGCAATGGGAACAGAAATAGATCATATCTTCGTATCTGTCCAACAGACTAGCACCACGTAGAAAAATCAACGCAAAATGGATTAAAGATAAACTTAAGACCTAAAACCATAAAACTCCAAAAGAAAACACAGAGGAAAAGCTTTTTAGCACCAGCGATGCTTTCTTGGATGGAATACCAAAACAAGGGCAAAAGAAACAACAAAGTGAAAAAGCAACCCATAGAATGAGAGAAAATGTCTGCAAATCATACCTCTGATTAATATCCAAAATACATAAGAAACTCATTACAACTCAACAGCAAAAAAATAAAAATAAAATAACCCAGGGGCACCTGGCTGGCTCAGTGGGTGGAGCGTGTGACTCTTGTTGATCTCAGGGTTGTGAGTTGGAGTCCCACATGGTGTAGTGATTACTTAGAAATTAAATCTTAAAAATAAAATAAAATAAAACAACCCAATTAAAAAATGGGCAAAGGACCTGAATAGATATTTCTCCACAGAAGACCCAGAGATGTTCATACCTTCATGTGGAAAACTGCTCAACATCACTCATCATCAGAAATACAAATCAAAACCATAATGAGCTATCACCTCATGCCTGTTGGAGTAGCTACGATCAAAAAAAAAAAAAAAAAGATAACAAGTATTGCTGACGGTGTGAAGAAAAGGGAATCCTTATACACTGTTGATGGGAATGCAAACTGGTGCAGCCACTATGGAAGATGGTAGGGAGGTTCCTCAAGAAATTAAAAACAGAACTACCATTTGATTCCACAGTCCCACTTCTGGGTCCATATCTACAGAAACTAAACAAACTCCCACACTCATTTCAGCTTTATTCACTATACCCAAAACATGAAAGCAAGTTAAATGTCCAGTGAAAGATGAACAGATCAAGAAAATGTAATATTTACATACAATGGAATATTATTCAGTCTTAAAAAAAAAAAGTAAATGCTGTCATTTGCGACATGGTGAACAAGGAAAACAGTGTGCTACATGAAATAAGCTAGACAGAGAAGAATAAATACTGCATAATTCCACTTATATAAGCAATCTAAAATGGTCACACTCACAGAAGCAGAGAGTAGACTGGTGGTTGCCAGGGGCTTGGAGGGAGGGGGAAACGGGGAGATGTCAGTCAAAGGGCACAAAGTTTCAGTTATGCAAGATGACTAAGTCCTACAGATCTACTGTGTACCATAATGCCTGTATTATATACTTAAAAATTTGCTAATTATACTGGGGTTTAAAAAATAAAATTTATTTTTTTTTTTTAAGATTTTATTTATTTATTTATTGAGAGAGCATTCGAGTGATCAGGGAGAGGGGCAGCAGGAGAAAGAGAATCCCAGGCAGACTCTGCACCGAGCATGAAGTACTGCGCCCGACGCAGGGCTCAATCCAACGACCCTGAGACCACGACCTGAGCTGAAATCAAGAGTTGTTCGCTCAGGACGCCTGGGTGGCTCAGATGCTTAAGTGTCTGCCTTCGGCTCAGGGCGTGATCTCAGGGTCCTGAGATCAAGCCCCATGTCGGGCTCCCGGTTCAGTGGGGAATCTGCTTCTCCCTCTGCCTCTGCCTCTCCCCCTGCTCATGCTCTCTCTCTCTCTCTCTCAAATGAATAAAATGAAAAAGAAATCTTTAAAAAAAAAATAAAATTAAAAAGAAAAGTCAGATGCTCAACCGACTGAGCCACCCAGGCGCCCCAGTAAATTCTTTTCAAATTTGCTAAAAGAGTAGATCTATGTCAAGCGTTATTATCACAAAAAATTAAAAGTGTAAAAATAAAAAAAAACTAGAAGGCAGAAAGTAACTTTTGGAGGTAACAGATATGTTTATGGTACTACTATGCTGCTGGTTTCACAGGTGTATATTCATCTCCAAACTCATCAAGTTGTTCACGTTGAGTATGTATAGCTTTTTGTACGTAAATCATATGTCAATAAAGTGGTTTTTTGAAAAGAAAATAAGTGTATTATCACAGTGCATGCAGAGTAACCACTTAATAAGTAGATCTTATTCCTGCCCTCCTACATCTTCCAGACAGAGTGTGCCATCCTCTGTCTTAGCTCCCCCAACCCACTGTGCATCCATCTACACCATTTTACACATTATATCAGAATTACATGTTTGCACGTTTCCCTCATCAGACAACGAGCTCTTCTGAGGGAGGGACTGCAGTGTATTGGTGGCCCCTAAACCAAAGCCCTCAGGAGAGCAGCACATACCCGGGAGTTGTTTGCTTCAGCATTAACTAAAAAAACAGTAAGGAATGGATCAGTCTGGTCATGGTGAGACAGATAATAAAACATCGTATCTCAGCCAACAATTACAATTTCACTGTTAAGACTTCTCCAAGACTGTTGTCTAAAACGTAAATAACTTGGGGCGCCTGGGTGGCTCAGCTGGTTAAGCGACTGCCTTCGGCTCAGGTCATGATCCCGGGGTCTTGGGATCGAGCCCCGCATCAGGCTCCCTGCTCTGCAGGAAGCCTGCTTCTCCCTCTCCCACTCCCCCTACTTGTGTTCCCCCTCATGCTCTCTCTCTCTGTCAATTCAATAAATAAATAAAAACTTTAAAAAAAATAAATAAAAATAAAATGTAAATAACTCTGGGAAGAAGCAAATTGTTATGAGTCATTCTTATCTTCATGAGGCAAGTAAAAGATCAGAAATCTAAATCAAATGCAAAGGATACGCAATCCCTCTGATCCGCTTGATTTTCCCTGGATCTGTGAGCTGGACAGGCTTGAGGACCTTCCTTACGGGACACGAGAAGAGCACTTCCCCTCCTCCTCCAGGAGGCATTCCCCGCCGCACCACCTGCACAGGTGATGAGAGAGAAGAGGTGAGGAGGTGGCAGAGTGGGGGACCCTGATACCCAGCCTGGCTGGTTTAGGCCAAGGGGCTCTTCCTCAGAACGCAGTTAGCTCTTTCGTAGCCAACAGGTCAACCCCTTCAAGACCATCGAGAGGGCACGTGCTGAGCAGGGACCCCGAACGTCAGGAAGAGCAGAGGACACAGGGCCAGCACACCCCAGGGGTCACTTCACCCCTGCCACCTGTTCCCTCATGCTTACGATGAGCGGCTCAACTGCTTTCTTAACCATCAGGAACCGTTTCTCCTTCCTATGCAATTAACTAATTTAGCAAAATTCATTTTACTAATAAAAATGAAGTCATTTCCCTTGTTTAAGACATTAACTTAAAAAGTAGAGATGCTAAGCAGCTTAAGATATCCAGTTAACTTAGTGATGTAATAATTCCTTCCAATAGCAAACAAACAGATGCTTAAATTACTTCTAGGTTTTGAAAACACTGAAAACTCTCCGGGGCATCCAGGTTGGGAGGCCCGGGACGCGAATTACATCTGGGTGACCTCGCTCAGAGAGCGCGTGTGGCCGGAAGCCTGGCGCGGCCGCTTCCCGGCAGAGCTGCCGTGAGGGATAAAGGAGTCCGTCTGTGTGCAGGGTGCACAATGCCGCTCACCACAAAGGAACGGGCGCTGCCACTGCTCGGGTCCCTTCTCGGCGCAAAGTCTGTCATGTTTGGATCACGGCTCCTGTGGGGCTGGCTCAATGGTGACTTCAAACGTGACACACACAGACACACTGCGTCCTACAGCTCTTCCAATGAGTTCATAAGAGAATATTTTACACACGTTTCAGCCAACAGTGTACACACTCTTACCTTTAGCTCAAATGATTCACCGTCAATTCCAAACTGCTTCAACAGAGGGAGGGCTGTTGCCTTAAGGACATCAACCTGTAGAATTATTCCAGAAAAAAAAAAAAGTTTAATTAAACTTTGAGGGACGCCTGGGTGGCTCAGTCGTTAAGCGTCTGCCTTCGGCTCAGGTCATCATCCCAGGACCCTGGGATCGAGCCCCACATCGGGCTCCTGGGATCGAGCCCCACATCGGGCTCCCTGCTCCGCGGGAAGCCTGCTTCTCCCTCTCCCACTCCCCCTGCTTGTGTTCCCTCTCTCACTGTCTCCCTCTCCCTCTGCCTGTCCCCCCAGTTTGTGCCTTCTCTTTCTCTCTCTAATAAATAAATTAAATCTAAAAAATTTTTAAAAATAAAAAATAAACCTTAAGAGGTGGAAAGAATAAAGAGCCCATGAAAGCAGGATGAGGTTTAGCAAGCAGGTAGATGATGCGGTCCTGTGAAGAGAAAGCACGCTGGCTTACAACCGAGGGAGTGGGCCAGCTCTGCTCCCAGGTAAGACAGCAATTTTACAAGCCACTGGCTTCTCTGAGCCCCTCTTCCCTCACTTTATACATTATACACCTACCCTGCAGGAGGATCACATGCATCATGCAAAAAGCATTGAGAAACTGCTGAGTTCATCCAAAAAACAAACTGGGACTTCTGCTCATTCTGTTCTTTTTTTTTTTAATTTATTTGAGAGAGAGAGAGCGGGGGGGAGGGGGGCCATGCAGGGCAAACAGGAGAATCCTCAAGCAGACTCCCTGCTGAGCTCAGAGCCCGACGTGTAGCTCGATGCCAGGACCGTGAGATCATGACCTGAGTCAAAACCAAGAGTCAGACACTTAACCAAATGAACCACCCGAGGGCCCCGACTTCTGCTCATTCTTATAGGCATAAATGCTATAGAAGAAAATACCAGCCTTTTTTATTATTCTTTTTCCAACATGGTTGTTTAATGTTTAAAGCTGGTGGCACTCTAAGCCAAAACAAACCAAATGAACCTGAGCTGGAGCGACCTGGGATCCTGCCGATGCCCACCACACAGGCAGTTAAAGGGGAGGTGGTGAGCCCACAAGGGGGTGGGGGCAGACGGGGAAGGGCAGCCGCCAACTCCAGGAGCGGCACAAACCTGGACCGTGACGACAAGACCCACAGTTAATGGCAAGGCTGTGCAAAGTGCTGCTGTTATGTCCTCCTCACTCGGAACTCCGGGGAGGCCTGGGCTCCTCTGCTTACTTATCTGCGGACTCCCCCGAGGGAATAGGATGACACTCAAATCCAGCCAGCTAATAAGTCCGTGAACGTCATCTCAACAGCAACTTGGGAAGAAAAATCACTCCCTCACTTGCTCCCAGTGCAACAGAGCTGCTCCTCAGCCTGCAGGAGCTGACCCTATCTGCAGGCGGCGAGGGCAGGCAGGGTGAGCGGGGCGCAGAGGGAATAGTCTGGTCCTGGTCCAGGCTCTGCCTCCAGTTAACTGTGTGGCCTCAGATCAGAAAATCCCACATGTCTGAATTTCCCTGTCTCTAAGGTAAGGGGCTCAGCCTGTCTCCAAGCTGCTAAGATTCAGCACAGCAATATTCCAATAAGGCTTCAGAGCACAGAACAGGCCCCCGCTAAATATTCTGATACCGCAAAACTAACCAGAGGCAGAAATGACCTATGAAGCCTAGGAACACGGTCAGAATGGATCAGGTGGGGCAGAAGCAGTTACGAAGACAACTCATTAAAGATTAGCTAATTTCGTTAAATATTAAAGCTAAACACACGTTAAAAACTTAAAATATGCATCTGGGGTTGCCAGAACAGAGAAGTCAGTCTAGACTAGAATGAAGGGCAACTGGAGAGAGGCTAAGCCAGACTCTGGGAAAAGTGGGGGGGGGGGGGGGGGGGGTACAGGCTGTTCTGAGGGCATGACTCCCAGGAACTAGGCACCAGCCCTCCTGGGGGAAAGAAAGGCGAGAAAACAGGGCATCACTTCCGGCTCATCCTACCTATACTTGGAGTCAAAAGGACGCGGTCAAATTGACTCTGAAGGCCAGCCAGAAGCCCCAGTGTAACCGGAGGTGTGGTCCTGTCTCCTGACACTCTCCATTTGACATGGAGGGCAGGCATCGTGATGCATGGGACCAGGGCCGGAAAAGCAGATAGGGGCTTGAGTCGCTCTCTGCCTCTCACCAGCTGTGACACCTCGACACTTCCCCACATCCCCAGGGCCTTGGGTGCCTCCTGCATAAAGTGAGGGGCTGGACTGGACACGCTCCCCTGGCTCCACACACTCTAATTTTAGCAGAGCAAGGATGGTCTGCAAGTCCTGCTTAAGGAAAAGAAGCTACAACTCTGTAATTACAGGCAAAAGTCTGACCCAAGTGGCACCTGAGGGCAAAGGCATTACCCTTCTGTCTAGTCAATCAGTCATCAGACAGAAATGTGACCAGATCCAAGCCAAAAAGAAAAAGGGAGAAAACCCACTCCCAGCTACCTTGTCTGAAACAGTGATAAGAACACCCACCTCACAGTGTTGGTAAAAGAATTAAATAAATAAGGATGCATACATATGAACACAGGTTCACCCAGAAGAGTGCCCAGCACACAGCAGACGTAACTGTACTTCTTTTCCCCTCCCAGGAGGGAACTAAAAAAGACTGGAATCTTCACTTGCCTCTTGACCAGTGGCTCTGGAGCAGAATTACTGAGAATCAGAGGAGACCTCCTCAACTTTTATTCTCCTCAGAATTTGTTCCCACTTCCTGTCCTTTTGTCCCCAGGGGAAAATGTCCCTATTCTTGCACAAGGCTCACCCCAACGCTTCCACTGTTGACCCTCACCCCTCCAACTGTTGAGTCAGCCTTACAAACACCCCCACTCCTTTTATTTTAATTGTTCCTTTCTCCACTACAGCATCTCCTCTGCCCACAAGCAAGATCAAGCTTCCCCTCATTCAAAAAACAATAATCAAACCAAACCAAAACAAAAACTCAGCTCCTAAAGAATCATCCTATCTAACTTTCTAGAAGAATCTCCCGGTTTTCCACGGTTCTATTTGCTACTCATTTCCTCAATGCATGCCTGTCCTTACAGTCCAATGACACCACTCTCTCAAAGGTCAACACAACTTCTCACTGCCCAATCTCCCCACCCAGCCCTAAGGGAGCTCCTGTAAAAACTGGCTCTGTGAGTCACCCCCTGCTTCTTAGAACTCGACTCCAATCTCATGGTCACTGCCTCCAGCCCCTCTTCTCCCGCTCACACCTTAAACATTCATTTCCTCTTCTTCCTCTATTCTCAGTCTCAGGAGCCATGCGGCCCACAGAGGCCAGAAAGGGAATTTTAATGGACCATGAGGTCAGCTAAGATCTGTGTCCAACCAAAGAGCTCACGATTTATCCAAAGAGGGCAGGGCCACGCAGGTCCAGTGGATGGCCACCCAGTGCTGCCACATCAACCTACTATAATAGAGAATCTGGAGTCTCAAACATGAACCACCAATTCGTATAGACACACCACCACCACACTGCAAGCCACAGGAAGAATACCTGTAGGATTAATTCAGTCAAAAAGCCACCAGTGTTCAACCTTGGCACTGGTTAATCTCATTCTCCTAGGGACTTAACTATCAATAGGTAAGATCCTGATGACTGTCTCTGAGGCTCCAGACAATAATTTCTAACTGCCAGCTGGACATCCCCATGTGAATATCCTACCAGTACTGCAGAGAAGAGGATCAAAATTAAACATATCGTCCATCATCCTACCACAATTTTCCTCTTCCCTGTGTCAAATGTTATCTGATCTCGATCCTTCCAGTCAAGAATAGAAATCCTGGAATAATTTATAACCACTTCCTCCTATCCCATCTCCAATCAGTTGTCAAGTTAAGAAGTCTCTCACTCCACAACGTCCTTCAGATCTGTCCCTTCCTTTTCACTTCCATGCCCATAATGTTCAGTCTAGTTGATGCCTCTTCAATTCATCCTCATCTTCCTAAAATCGGAGACTGACTCTGGCTTCCTTTCCTTAGAAAACCCTCCCCAGCCCTCAGCACTTTGCTTATACCTTTGACAGGGGTGACCCTGTAGTCTCCCTAGCTGCCTTCATAGTTGTCCACCTCATGAGATCAAGTTCCAGAAGGGAACTCTTCCAATTCGTCCTTGCGTGCACAGAGTGGACATGAACGGGGGGGGAGCCACACATTCAAGAGAAGGCTTGAAATGAAGAAGCCACAGGCTGAAGAAGTTACACATATCCAGGATTAGGTGTATTTATTTTATCCTGGTCTGGAACCAGGTACTAACCAAGGTCATTTTAGCAGTGCAACTAGCAAAAGCAGAGAGCTCTGCAACATGTGAAAATAGATTTTTTTTTTAAACACTCTGCATGCAAGGGGGTCTGGGTGGCTCAGTCGGTTAAGCGTCTACCTTCCCCTCAGGTCATGATCCCAGGGTCCTGGGATCGAGTCCTGCATTGGGCTCCCTGCTCAGTGGGGAGCCTGCTTCTCCTTCTCCCTCTCCCTCTCCCACTCCCCCTGCTTGTGCTCCTGCTCTCGCTCTCTCTCTCTCTCTGTCAAATAAATAAATAAAACCTTAAAAAAAAATACCGTATGCAAGAATTAAGTATTATTTCTGCGGAATTCATCAGTTAACCTTTGTCATTGTTAATATATAAAACCTTTTTGAATAATGCCAGTGGAAACAGCTTTTAAGATTATTAGCAATTATAGAGAAAAAAAAAAAAGAGTGGAAAACTGAGACACATAGTGCCCAAGTTTCCTGCATGCTTCACCCGAGTTTTTCCCATTATGCAAGGCTCCTCCTCCCCACAACTCCATTCTAAAAGTATAGAGGCCTCCTCTCATACTTTTAACTGAAAGGTGGTTTCCTAGAATCTTCAGAAAAGGCAGGAAAAAAAAGCAATCATCTGAAATTAGTTTAAAATTCTAAACAGTTTAAATAAATAAATCTTTTAAAAAAGCGGGGGGGGGGGGAGGGCACCTGGGTGGAACAGTCGGTTGAGCGTCCAACTCTTGGTTTCAGCTCAGGTTCTGATCTCAGAGGGGAGACGGGGCCCCGTGTCAGGCTCCACGCTCAGCAGGGAGTCTGCTCAGGATTCTTTCTCTCCTTCTCCTTCTGCCCCTCCCCCCACCAAATAAATAAATAAATCTTTAAAATTCTAAACATTTATAATGCAACATTCCTTTACAACTGAGAATTTCAGATCTCACACTGTACTCAGGATCCTAAGAAAAGAGTTTATGTACCTGAATTCCCAAGAACTGAGGAATAAGTCTTTTAGTACCCAGCAACACATTAACCAGGTTTATACCTTAACAGATATCTGGGTGAATACCAGCAGTCTCTGTTTTAGAACTCACTGTACCACCCAATTGGTCTTTCCTGGTTAGGAAAGCTACACACTTCACATTCTGCCTCAGAAGACACCCCCTCAATAGTCCTGGTCCAGTATCAGTAGAGATGAAGACAAGTGTCCTTGGTAAGGATTTCACATCATGGCCCTCAGCTTTAAAATACCATCTGTGGCCAGCAAAGAACCCAAAGAGGGGGATCCTTCCCTCCATACAAGAGAAGTACAAGGCAGGCCTAGACAGAAAACTGCTCTAATCTCTGTCTCTGTCTCTCTCTCTCACACACACACACACACACACACAACAAAACCCATCCTAGATAGGCATTAAGACAGCTGTGGTGACCACAGTGAAAATCCCACATGTATATTAAACTATCCTCCCCACACATGCAGGACAATTAGGATGCTTAATAAGAAGCTTGCTGGGGCACCTGGGGGGCTCAGTTGGTAAAGCTTCTGCCTTCAGCTCAGGTCATGATCCCAGGGTCCAGGGATGGAGCCCTGCATTGGGCTCCCTGCTCAGTGAGGAGTCTGCTTCTCCCTCTCCCTCTGTTCCTCCCCACTGCTCGTACTCTCTCTCTCTCTCAAATAAATAAAATCTTTAAAAAAAAAAAAAAATAAGAAGCTTGCTAGTGCCCACAAACCATGCAAGTGCATGTATACCTTCCCTGCCCTTGCCCTTTTTCTAAATCTGCAAACTCTTCTCGGGAGAAGAAAAGTCCTAAAATTTATGGTTAAAACCTGAGTAAGTCAAGATTATGCTATAGCAACCAAGGAGATATTATTATTTTCTGTCTAAAATTCTGGTCTGCTGCCTTCCAGCCGCAGCCAACACATGACCTTAAGAAGATTCCATTCTCCAGCACTTGAGCCAACAGAGCTTTATTTCATGTCAACCGTGATGAGACTGCACACATCTGTTCTGAAGGCTCTTAGACACGACAATGAAAGGCACCTTGATGAATGTTAACAATCGTCACCGAATCTGATGATTGCAAGTCTCGGTTCATCTGCTTCCTAGTGATTAATGTCTAAACCTCAAGGTAAATAACAAAACAAAGACACTCAGCAATAAACCTGTGTTTTATCAGGAACTTATTTCTCTAACGCTGGGTTGCTGCAAGAGACAAAACGACTCACTACTGACTACTCACCGAAGGGTCAACCTGGTCATTGGTTACTCCTCGCAGAACGATTCTCAACGGGTGCTTCATAAATGGAGCCAGGCAAAGAAGACTCTCCAGGTAATAGCCAATGCTGCGAAGGACATTACAGTCATGTTCCACAGACCCACCACACAGGAGACCAGGCTGGTAATACAACGTCGTTCCTTACACCGGAAGAAGAGCCACATTCAGCAGAAAACAAAAAAAAGGGCAAAAATAAAAACAAAACAAAAAGCACTAAGTGTCACAAAGGCAACAAAGGCAGTAAATCCCAAGGGGAAAGTCTGACAAGGGCATCCAAGAAGTTCAAAATGCCATTCCTAAGAGCCCACACTTCACTCCAAAAGCTGACTCATTACTGTCAAGCCCCTGTAACAGTAATAAACTGTGAGTGTAATTTAATAAACGGTAATAAACCCCTCCCTAAGCATCTGAGTTGCCAAAGTCGCGGCAGGGCACAGAGGAGAGATGCTAACAGGCGCTCTGGTCTTCCAAGAGCACACTCTGCCTGTGGGTGGGGGGCTTTACAAATGATGTGCCGAAACCATCACACCAGCAACCAGCTTCTTCTGGGCCCTTGAAACGAGATTTCCCATGAACTGCACTCACCAACAGGCTTCCTAGAGAAGGCAAGTACTTGATGGCACTTAATTCTGTCAATAGTAGCTATTTTAATAGCAACAAACGGAAAGATCTAAAATTACCGAATAGCTTTAGTAGAAGCTCTATTATTTTTACTCACTCTTTCTCATATTCATATCATCCAAAAAGTTTCTTATTGGGTGTATGCATTAGGGTGAAAAGCAAAGTAAAATATTCTAGATTAATGGGGGGTGGGGTGGCGCATAAATGGGTGAACAAGGGATTGTTGCTGCTCAAAGTCTTTTGCCACTGTCTTCTGGCATAATTTACCAATAAATTTAACATTAGAGGAAAGAGATCTAGGCTCGGTCACTCAAAAGGAAAGCAGCTCTTTGGAGTTATGTAAAATAAAAAAATTTACATAAAAGAAAAAAAGAAAAAATTTATATAAAATTTTAAAAAAAAAAAGACTATATCATCACTAAAGTCTGCAAATCTGTGCCTGCAAATTAACCAAGTGAGAAATTGGTCAGATCATCAGAATGAAGGCTTCTACTCTGGTGGGGCAGGGGGCATGAACTAGAAGCAGGATCGTGTAAAATGTCACTTCCCAAATTAAGCTGCAGATATGACCAGAAAAGAATTATGAACCCTCTGAATCCCCGATAAAAATTGCTGAAAAAACAATTTTTTTAATTTAAAATCTTTTTTAGATCTCCAGCAATTTCAGAGTAAGTCAGTCAAGGAAGACTCGAGGAATCATAGGTTGCAAAGGGCATCTGAAGTCTCATTCCTGAAACTTTTTTTTTTTTTGAAAGATTTTATTTATTTGACAGAGAGAAAGACAGCGAGAGAAAGAACACAAGCAGGGGGAGTGGGAGAGAGAGAAGCAGGCTCCCCACTGAGCAGGGAGCCCGACGTGGGGCTCGATCCCACCTGGGATCATGACCTGAGCCGAAGGCAGACACTTAACGACTGAGCCACCCAGGCGCCCCTCATGCCTGAAACTTGTTCTCCGTAGAGTAGAGCCGAGTGCAGCTACAGATCAATGAGTCTCATGTGATGTAGGGGCCACTTATGAGGCCAACGCTGTCTTCTTTCTTAAGACAGCCAACGAATGAGGAAGTGCACAGTTTCCTTTGTGGACTATCTGTGCACAGGTGAATAGTTCATGGAGCCAGCCAAACAGTGTTTGCCATGGTTTCCCATACAAGGTCGAGAAAAGAGTTTCTAAGAGCCAACAAACAGCTAGAAACAACCTAAATGTTTATCAGTAGGGAGCAGTTAAATAAATTATCATGCCTCCATACAACAGACTACTAGGCCCACTGAAATATTGAGATGGGCCTGCATGTGCCCGGCAGGAAAAGTTCTGAGACATCTGTGATAGTGAAGAAAAGCAGCTGCGGAGCAACATGAAGAGCGTGACCTTGCTGGCAGCTTGAGGTTCAGAAGTGTCCATGCAAGCAAAGGCATATAACAGAGACCAGGGCACACACCCCAGGCTGTGCCCACGGCTGCCCCTTGGGGAGGGAACGGAAGAAGAAACAGGTGAAGGGATTTGCACATCTTTTGCATAACTTGTGCATACTTATTTTTTTTAAGATTTTTTTTTTTTTTTATTTGAGAGAGAGAGAGAAACGCGCATGTGGGGGCTAGGCAGAGGGGGAGGGAGAGGAAGAGGGAAAGAATACCAAGCAGACTCTGTGCTGAGCGCGCAGTCTGATTACAGGGCTCGATCTCACAACCCCGAGATCATGACCTGAGCCAAAACCAAAAGCTGGACACTCAACTGACTGAGCCACCCAGGTGCCCCATGCATACTTATTTTAAAAGACAAAATTAAAAAAATAAAATAAAATTCAGCACATAACGACTACCTCACAGAGTTGGCTGTGAAATTTTATTGTGACAAAATAAATAAATGGACTTTGAAAAGTTATGCATAAACTTTAGGTGTAAAGTATTTTTGTTGTTGAAAAAGAGGAGGTGCCTGTTTGTTGATCTGAAATTTCCAGCTTTCTAACTTCTTTAAATCAAATGCGCGCCCCTTATATTGGCAGATTTCACATACATCTCCGCACAACTCTATCACAGACAGGAAACTGGCTCTTTGCACCCGAGTATGTATATGGTCAAAAGGCATGAGAAGTAGAGGAATAGTTAAGTAGTACATGTGGGTGCTTTCAGGAACGGGAAGAAAGAGAGCTTACCTGTTTGGTTTATTTCAATCCGAGAACCATTAGTTATTTTGTCCAACAGCCTTATGAAGCTGGCTTCAAAGTCTGTGGGGAAAAGAGAAAACAGACCGGCTTCATGTGAGGTCACCATTTCCAGAGCCGCGGTGGAAGGTACGTGACTCCCGGCGTCACGCCCAGGTTCCTGTCAGGACCAGGGCGGGACCACTGGCTGAGGACACTGAAGCAGCTGAATAACACTGGCTAGCACACAGATGTTTGGTGGGACTATCAGAAACAATTCACCTTTCATATCCCACAAAAAACAGCAACTCTACCAGCAATCTAGTGGGGTATTAATTTCAGCAGCCTAACACCCATGTAAAGACCTGCTCTTCTGACCTCAGGGGGGAACGCCAAATAAGGGAGAAATAGCAGAAAGTGGGGAAGCGTTTTAAAGTCCACTTCTTATCTGTTCCAGAATACATGAGAGGGCAGATGAAATTGCAGGTCACTCCTCAGTCTCAGAAGCAGTAAGAGGTCACTGTCTCCCCCACTCAACTCTGTCCCTTTCTCCCTTCTGCCACCCTACTCATCTAGAGCTATCTAACCAGTTCCATTTTTAATTTCATTACAAAGGTGCTTGAATGTACAGTATTACTACCACCTTCTTCTTAACACATGAAAACAGACTGGAAGAAAAAACACCACATGTTAATGAATGGATTTCTCTTCATGGTAGGACTTGGTACTTTACATGAATTTAATTTTCTTGTTTAAATTCTCACGTATAAATATACTTCAATTTCTTTTATAGACAGATTGTTATCCAAAAACATAAAAGATGGTCATTATCAAAAGGGGGGGTAGAAAGGGAGGAAATGGATTTTCAATGTGAACTATGAGAGGAGGAAGAGAGAAGACTCAGGCAGGAGAATATGTCCTATGGCCTTCCCCTGAGTGGATCTCACACACACACTCACACACACTCACGCTCACTCCCTCCCTCTCTAGAGTCAACCTCTTGCCCGTGAACAAGGGGCAGGAAGACCAGCTCTCCCACACCAAAGGCATGGTGGCCACGTGGCTATTTAGGCAGTTTCCACCCCCTGCAAGAAACTAGCAGAATTTTCAAGCTCACACAGCAGCAGTCACCTGAACTGATCCCAGAGGGCGAGCACATCAACTTAGCAATGCTCGTCCACCTGTTCTGTTACTGAACGCTGCCCCACAAACTCCTGTCCCCGTAGATGCTGCAATCTGTACAGAGAGTCCTGGGCTAGAAGTCAGAGGAAATCCAGTAAGTCCCGAAACCAGGAAAAGCGGCTACTTCCAGCAGGTTCGCATTAAAGCCTCCCGCACAGCCAGACATTCCCTCGCCTAATCCTCAAAGCCCCGCGGCAGGGAGTGTCGTTCCCATTTTACAGAAGGCTGAGGCCCAAGAATGAGACTGGCAAGTGACAGAGCCGGGGGCTGAGGCCAAGCCCCGGCTTCTCCGGAGTCCGCACTCCTAACCACACCATATACCAGTGTGCCAAACTCCGTTTAATCCCTCAGCGTCAACCACCTCCTCTAGAAAATCATGGAACCTTTTAACTGCAGGCGGAGTGATCTACTGCAGGATCCTGCAGACCATTTAATGGGTCCCCCAACAACATTTATTTTTAATGAAATTAGAGCAGAATAAACAATGTCAGAGTTAACCCTACATAGGGCACTGTTCGTGAAACCTCGGTGGGCTTTACAACTATCTGTATATGTACTGGTTGTGGTGTTAAGTAGCATCACAAAAGTTTGAAAATAAATCAACTACAAAATTGTTTCCATGGCCTCTTAATATAGAATATTCTGTTTTTAAAAAAACCAGGCAGATCCAGACCACAGTGCCACTTTCCACCGATCTTTCTAGCAAATGCAACGGGCTCTGCACAGAAAAAGGAAAACTCTTGAGGTGGCTAAGCTTTTGAGGTGCCTAAAGGGGAGAGAGGAACGGACATTTATGAATAAAGTCCACGATTAAACTCCATAGCTTTTACAGATTAGGAAAGAAAAAAACAAAACAAAAAGAAAGCATAACGTCAGAATTTTTTTTCTTCTGCAATCCACAGGGGCACTTAAGCATGAACGCAGTCAGTTAAAAATGCCCAGCAGAGGAACAGGGCCAGGAACAGAATGGGCACATAAAGAGACCTCCAGGCTGGACCATCCCCTGATCACAGAAAATGGGTGATTCAGAAGCAGTACTTCAAAGAACCAACCAGAGCTAGTTCCAGAATCCTGGCAACAGTGAAGATATAGCTCCATCACGTGGTATGAAAAAGATCTCAAGTTCACCTAATAATAGTAAGACTGATGTCCTCAAACTTCATTAAGACAAGATGTGTAGGGGGGGCGCCTGGGTGGCTCAGTTGGTTAAGCGACTGCCTTCGGCTCAGGTCATGATCCTGGAGTCCCTGGATCGAGTCCCGCATCGGGCTCCCTGCTCGGCAAGGAGTCTGCTTTGCCTTCTGACTCTATCCCCTCTCATGTGTTCTCTCTCATTCTCTCTCTCCCAAATAAATAAATAAAATCTTTAAAAAAAAGACAAGATGTGTAGGATTCCTTACCCTTTCACTTCCCACACATCCTCTTTAACTCTTCCTCCTCAAGACTGCTCTTGGGGATACAGAAGTTCAGATATCTAAAAACACCAGGGAAAAACATCCAAAACCAGGCACAATTTTACTGCACTGTTTGGGAATACATAACTAGGCCATAAAGCTATAAGACAATTAACACAAAGACTGTACTGGTCAGGAAAGCGGCTACCAGCAGGGGTAGAGGAGGGAATCGTGCCCCAAGAGGCCCCGTAGGTGCAACAGTGTTCTGTTTCTTGACTTGGATGGGGTCACACGAGTGTCCATTTTATAATCTTTTAAGCACTACTTTTATGTTTCATGCATTTTTTATGTTATTATATTTGACATTTTTTAGAAGTTTATACTATTAGGACCTTCAATCTCAGAATTCCTTAAATACTGCCCGTGGTGCCTAATGCACTCCCCTCCTCAGCCCCTCAAGAGGTGAGCTCATCACTTCTTTAAAGGGGCCATTAACTCTGTAACACAATGCCTGACCCATTCCTCACTAAGAAAGGCAAACTGTCTCAAGGGCAGTGAGGGAAAGAATACAAGCCAAAGACCTACACTTTTAAACAAGGAGCAAATCTCAATCAATACAGTTTCAACTTAAAAGTATCATAACAATTTAAATATCTAGAAACAGTAACTGTGCTAAAATAAATTTCTAATATTATATACATGTCACATATAATATAAATGTTAGATGTATACATATTGGATATATATCAGAACACTCTGCAGCCTTAAAATTAATAAGGAGAATTTTTATGTACTGATGTAAGTCACCTCCAAGATATACTGAGTGGAAAAAAGTAAGATGCCGCTGGCCATTTGTGTGAAAAAAGGAAAACGTGCATACGTATTTGCTTATTTATGAAAAAAAGAGCCCTGGGAAGAAACACAACAAACTAGTAACACTGACTGCCTCACAGGGAAGGGAGGATGGGAAAGAGACAGAGACACACTGTGTAAACCCTCTTTACTCCCTCTGAATTTCACACCATGTGTATGTTTTTTAAAATACATAAAATTTAAATTAAAAAATACAAATAAAGGTACTGTAACACAATTTTTTTTCAAGATTTTATTTATTTATTTATTTGACAGAGAGAGAGAGAGAGAGTAGAAGCAGGGGGAGGGGCAGACAGAGGGAGAAGGAGAAGCAGACTCTCTGCTGAGCGGGAGCCCGATGTGGGACTCAATCCCAGGACCCTGGGATCACGACCTGAGTTGAAGGCAGATAGATGCCCAACCAACTGAGCCACCCAGGTGCCCCGTCTATAACACAATTTAAATAGCAAATAAAACTGCTCTCATTAAATAGCCTATGAAAGATCTTTATAATACTATACAGCCATTAAAAATAGTTTAAAATAATTATTTAATTACATGAGGAAATGCTCACATTAAGGAAAAAATAAAAAATATATACAATGTGATTTCAATTTCTTTAGAGAAGTACCTAAAAAATAAGACAACAAGCCATTAATACATGAAATTAGAAATCATTCTGGGACGCCTGGGTGGCATCTGCCTTCGGCTCAGGTCACAATCCTAGGATCCTGGAATCGAGGCCCGCATCAGACTCCTCGATCAGCAGGGAGCCTGCTTCTCCCTCTGCCTGCCGCTCCCCCTGCTTGTGCTCAGTCAGTCTCTCTCTCTCTCTGACAAATAAAATCTTAAAAAAAAAAATTATTCTTATCCTCATTAAATCCCAAAAGGTAGATATTATAAACACATACACAATTCTCAGAATTAAAAGATGTCCATTCACTTGGAAATATGCATAAAACATACACATATCTTATGTATAATATGTAATTACACATGATTCATAATAAATTATATTTTAACTGAAACATGTAACATCTTTCCTGAATTGTCAACACAACAAGAAAAAAACTACAGAACATACTAAAATATTTTAAGCAGAAATATCAATTTTACCAGAATACACAGCAGTCAACCAAAAAAAAAAAAAAATTTACCACTCTAAATACCTTAGTAATTAAAAAAACAAAAGCAAGAGCAAAATGAACTGAGATTTTAGAAATGGAATAGAATTACAAGCCAAAAAGTAAATGAAAAAATAATCACAAAAGAGATTTAAAAAATGGAAAATATAGCAGAAAAAAAAATCAAGCTAATTCATTTAAAAAAGACAACACAGATCAATAGTCTCATTCATCTGTACAAAGAAAAAATGTAAGCTAATAATAAATAACATAATTAATAGAAGATTATGAGCTTTTGTGATAAACTATTCTCTGATATTTACTAATACATTTGGAATTAATATAACTATGTAAAAAGATGATAAATCAAACAGATAAACAAAAAGATACAAAAAAGAGAAACCCAAAACTAAGAGAATAAGAGAATTTATCAATAAACCGAAAAGAGGGGGTGACTGGGTGGCTCAGTCAGTTAAGCGACTGCCTTCAGCTCAGGTTATGATCCCAGGATCCTGGGATAGAACCCAGCATCTGGCTCCCTGCTCAGCGGGGAGTCTGCTTCTCCCTCTCCTCCTGGCTCCTGCTCTCCGTCGCTATCTCTGCTCTCTCTCTCTCTCTCTCTAATAAATAAAAATCTTTAAAAAAACAAAAAAACTGAGAAGAGCACTGATAAAGTTGCTGAAAAAATTTTTCCCAACATTCAAAGGAAAAATTCGTCTATTACACATTCCAAAGAACAACAACAAAAGCATGAAGAGATGCCTTCAAATGCAGAATAGTTAAGAGCATCACATGCAGGAAATAAAAAATAAATCTCAGGAAACAAACTGAGGGTTGCTGGAGCGGTGGGGGGTGGGAGGGATGGGGTGGCTGGGTGATAGACACTGGGGAGGGTATTGCTATGGTGAGCGCTGTGAATTGTGCAAGACTGTTGAATCACAGACCTGTACCTCTGAAACAAATAATACATTATATGTTAAAAAAAAAAAAAAAAGAAGATAGTAGGAAGGGAGGAATGAAGGGGGGGAAATCGGAGAGGGAGACGAACCATGAGAGACGATGGACTCTGAGAAACAAACTGAAGGTTCTAGAGGGTCCGAGGTGGGGGGATGGGTTAGCCTGGTGATGGGTATTAAGGGGGGCATGTTCTGCATGGAGCACTGGGTGTTATACGCAAACAATGAATCATGGAACCCTTCATCTAAAACTAATGATGTAATGTATGGGGATTAACATAACATAAAAAAAAGAATGGACATAAAAAAATAAATAAATAAATTGAATTTAATAAAAAAATAAAAAATAAAAATGATAAATTTCCCCCAAAAAAATAAATTACAAACTAACTTCATTTAATAAGAACAAATAAAATATCCCCATATAAAGCCTTAGAAAAGAACCCATAACACATTTTTCAACTATCCACTACAGTTAAGAAGAGGGCCTCCCAGGAAAGGACCACACCTAAGGCACAAGGAAGATGACAATATTATTAAATATAAAAACAGGGGATGGGGGAGAATCAAGTAACTAGCTTGACTGCTACTGAAAAGGCATCTGAGAAAATTCAGATTTTTATTACTTTAAAAAATCTATTTTATTACTAAAAAATCTATTTTATTACTAAAAAATCTATTTTTTAGTAAAATTCTGTTTTAAAAGTATGAAGAATGAATTCATTGTAACAGAGTTTACATATAAAAACAGAAGCCTCTGGTGCCTGGGTGGCTCAGTTGTTTCGCGTCTGCCTTCGGCTCAGGTCATGATCCCAGGACCCTGGGACTGACCCCCGTGTCAGGCTCCTTGCTCAGCGGGGAGCCTGCTTCTCCCTCTCCCTCTGCCTGCCACTCCCCCTGCTTGTGCTCGCTCTCTGTCAAATAAATAAAATCTTTTAAAAATAAATAAAAATAAAAACAGAAGTCTTAGGTGGCGCCTGGGTGGCTCAGTCGGTCAAGCATCTGCCTCTGGCTCAGGTCATGATCCCAGGGTCCTAAGACTGAACCCCATGTCGGGCTCTCTGTTCAGCAAGGAGTCTGCTTCTCCCTCTTCCTCTGCTTGTGTGCTCTCTTTCTCTCCCAAATAAATAAAATCTTAAAAATAAATAAACAAAAAAACAAGAGAAGCCTTAGAAGTTCCAGAACATCTTCTTGGCCTTGGGGTAGACCAAGATTTCTTTAAAAAGACACAGAAAAATTTATAAATTGGACTACATTAAAAGAAGTATCTATTGCTCATCAAAAGAAACCATTAGGGCGCCTGGGTGGCTCAGTCGTTGGGCGTCTGCCTTCAGCTCAGGTCATGATCCCAGGGTCCTGGGATCGAGTCCCACATCGGGCTCCCTGCCCGGCAGGAAGCCTGCTTCTCCCTCTCCCACTCCCCCTGCTTGTGTTCCTGCTCTCGCTGTCTCTCTGTCAAATAAATAAAAAATCTTTAAAAAAAAAAAAAAAAGAAACCATTAGTGCAAAAAAACAAGTCAGAGCATAACCAGATATTTGCAACAGCTTAACAGAGAATTGTGCCATATTAATAAAATGTAGTAGCATGCTACAGCAATGAACACCAGCTACTGCCTCTCCAACAGATATGACTTTTTTTTTTTAAAGATTTTATTTATTTATTTGAGAGAGAGAGAATGAGAGAGAGAGAGAGCACATGAGAGGGGATAGGGTCAGAGGACGAAGCAGACTCCCTGCCGAGCAGGGAGCCCGATGCAGGACTCGATCCCGGGACTCCAGGATCACGACCTGAGCCGAAGGCAGTCGCTTAACCAACTGAGCCACCCAGGCGCCCAGATATGACTCTTAAAAACACAAAAGACAGCAAAGAAACCAGACACACACAAAAAATACATACTCTATAACTCCATTATATAAATTACGGTTAATATTTCAGAAATGCATTCAATGGTGTAAAAAGTCAACTTATTATTTACATTGGGAGTGGGAGAAAATGGTGTGATGGCACAGCATGGAAGGGTTTTAGGGTTGCTGGTCATGTTTTATTTCTTGGCA